CTTCGGGAACGTGTTTAAAGTACGATCACGTATCTACGTGCAATTTCCGACACAAACGACACCCTCTGCGTCGCGTCGCGATCACGATACACGCGATTGTTGTTGTGTCGATCATGTTACGAGACGAACCTAAACTTTCCTTGGATATGACTCAGCTCGTGCTATCTGCGCAAATTATTTCCTCTGTAATAACACACGCAATGAAGGCGCGATAAGCTAGGTAATCGGAGCGATGGCATGGAAGAAGGTAGGAAGAAATTTATGGCAGTGCTTGATGAGTGGCTTGCGAATATTATGTTGAATATTTGTTTTATATATATTCGCACTGGGAGAAAATTTGTGTTAAATTTAACACATTTCACGTATCCCAAATCATTCCATTAAAATTTATGTGTTAATTTAATACAAGATGAATATGTTAGAAGATGACACAAATATTAAAAAAAAAATAAACACACAAGAAGATAAGTTAAAAAGTGGAGGCGTATTTTTTTCAATAAAACTAACATTTACGATATGTTACATTAACACATATTTTATTTATTTATCTTAGAATTTGTATTTTAAGACAAATTATTTTTATGTTATTCATCTTAATCATTTGCTCATAAATTGTGTTATTTTGACGCTAAGAAATGTTTAATATTCGCTTATGTAACTATTTAAATAACGTAATTGCATTATGTTAAATACACACTTGAGTATATTTAAAATTCAACGCAAAATGTTTTTACAAGAACTTAAGGACCATCTTCAAGATGAATATGAAATATTTCTGTATATATTTTGAATGATATATTATCTTATTATTTTGTGTGTGAATAAATTATCCACATATCGATAACTCAAATATTTATACATTATAACGAAAATCTCTTGATATTTATTACAATATTATCATAAATACGTGATATATTAGGCGATGATATTAGACGTCGTCACATTATTTTTTATAAAATAAAATTTGTTATCTTTATTTTAATATCCAAGTTTATTTTCGTACAATAGCTTTTCGCAGTTTACACAGAAGCGAATATAAATCGAGGATAGTGATTAGAAAGTTTTCAGCAGTGTATTCCGCGTACGATGAACGCGAGTGTCCCATGAAACCAACTACAAATTGCCGTGGCAATTTCTATTCTGGATTACATTACCATTCGCACCGTGAACGTGACTTCGCCGTGTCCCGCACACTCGGCGATTGCTAAACCTCCTCTCCCTCCCCGATGATATATTTCCTTCGCATTAAGAGAGGCAGCGAAAATCTCTTGGTACAGTAAACGGCATGTATATTCGAGCGGTGCGAACGAGACACGGCCGCGGCGTAAAAAGCGCGCGTGAGAAGTTAATCGGCGCGGGTCGAGAGTTCAGCAGGAGAGAAAGTCAACGAACCAATGGCGAGCGGCACTTGATTGACTCTGAATGGCATGTCGCTTTTATTACGTGCAATCGGTTATAATCCGTCTCCGTTCCTCCCGCTCGCCGGCTCGCTCGCACTTCGCAGTCGTCCTACATCACGCCACGACCCGCATACCCGGTGGCTGGCGTGCTCAAGTGTAATACCGAAGCACCACGCGTCTCTACTCGCGATACTACTTCGAGCACCGGATAACGAGACAAGTGAAATTGTATATCCCTGTCGTTCGCCAAATGACCAGGATTGTCATTCGATGTACGCGCACGAGTCCGCCAGTGAACAGCGGGAGGGGATATCGATAATAGTGTCGCAAGAAGACGTAAACGTTTCGCATGGGAGTTGCGTGATTATAATTCATTCGCGCGCGCCGATGACAAGGAATGTAAACAACTTCTATTATGCTCGAGTGCAAAGCTCCGTGCGCGTGTGCCTCTATTTCTTTTTTCCTCTCTACTTAGATAAGCGGCTGTATAAGCGGCTTATAGATAAACAGCGTGTGATGCAACGCGGTTTGGTATCCGCGCGCGATTAGTACTCGTATGTGGCGTGATGTTGGCGCGCACGTTACGTTTGCCGAGCACTTTTAATGAGGACTTTTGCCGGCTTTTGTGTCACGTCGCCCTCGTTACATCTTCTTTTTGTAAGGACGCGACGTGTCGCGCATAAAACGCGCGCCGCGAAGCGATGACGCGAGCATCGAGGTAAACAGAATGTGGGTTGACATTTACTTCGCGTCTCTCGATTAGCATAGTAAACCTTCTCGCAGGCCTATAATTAGATTCGCGACTTCGCGAAGCTCCTGCACTCGACCTCGTAAAATTCTACCGTCCTGCAAGGACGTGGCGTCTTTCTTCCTATGAAAGAGTGCTTGACGCGGCCTTGATCTCTCCTCAATTTGAGAAAAAAATATCTAAAAGTACCTACCCTGTTAAAGGAAAACTATTAACTACCATTTTGCAATATTTTTATCAAAATAGACTAACACAAAAAATATTAATAAATATTTGTTTGAATAAGTAATTCTCAACAAGTATTTACTAAATATAAACATATATTTATTTGATATAAGATCGAATTTAACTGTTTTTTTATTAAATAAATATTTATTTACTGTAATCAAAAGATAGAATAATAAGTTTCTTTAATCCTTTTATGAATAAATTTTAAGAATCTTGCTAGAGATGTACTTTAATCGCAAGTGAATTGATGAGTTTGAAATAATCTTTAACTTTATTTACAATCGGAAAGGTAAAGCTGATAAGTTTAGCAAATTATCAACTCTTGGAGAGAAATTGCAATGCGAATTCGGAAGGTATTGCCTGCAACTCGGTGACTGACGTATTTACCGAGATTTCGAGTCTCGGGGAAAACAGGAAAACAATATTTACCGTCCCCTTTTGCTTCGTTACTTGCCGGTTACTTGATTACATTAATTTACAACCTTGCAGTCGTTCCAGAAACGAGTTCCTCGCCGAGTTAAATCGACGAACGTTGGCAACGAGCGGAAGCTGTTTGTTTGATCCTCCCGGGGAAATTACTTAGTTACACGTCGAAGTTCGTCCGATAACTTCGCGAGTTATTTTCGAGGCCTCTTACGGCGCCATGCCGATGGCATTAACGAAGTCAGTCGATCCAGATTCCAGACGCTATCTCGCACGACGTTAATTACACGAATCTCGCGCCTTTCTTTCTTACTAATAGTACTGGACATTGCTCCAATTCACTTTTCTCGGACTTCGCTTCTCTCGTAAACCTCTCGTGTTTTCCACACAAACCTCTCACGTAACTCGATACCTGTCACGAACTCAGTATTCGAATTTCGCAAATGAGTTAATTCCGTGCTCGCCACCGTGGAATCACGTTTGCATATCGAGTTTTTAGGAATTACAGAATTACATTTTTTATTCTTAATCGAACAACTTTTATATGCGTATATGTATATATACATATATATATATACTATATGTACAGAGTGAGGCATTTGAAGTGTTACAAAGTTATGTAATCTATACATACCACGTTTGAAAAGCAACTGTGTGTTTTCTTTAAACCAATTGATTCATTCTATTATTCTGTACATAAAAATATCAAGATATGTTTGTAAAAAAATTAATATTTTACAAAATATTTTATACTTTATGTTAAAAAATATGCCAGAATAAAATATTATATATCTCGTAAAGTATTAATTTTTTAGTATTTCTTCCTTAATACTTTTGTATACAATATAATTAAAGGAATCATATTGTATAAAAAATATATCAATACAGTTGAAAAAATGGAGGCGACCTCTATATGACTTTAAAAAATCGATTTTGTTTTAAAAAGATATTTATTATTTATTCCTCTTGAAATCACATTATCTGCAAACATATTTTTGATTCGCGACGCATATTTTCAAAGATAATATATCTTGCAACATTATAAATGCCCCATCTAGTACATTTACATATGTATATAAAAGATGTCGCGTCACTATTTTAATGGCAGCATAAACTCTCGGTCTATGTTATCATGCACAATGTTAATATGATGCGAATCGAGGCAAGAAAAAGTTCACTCGCGTGAATCGCGAACGATCCGATGACACACGCGGAAAATTCCCGGTAAGTTATAATGAGCGCTTTACATTTATCGCGTATTTTCACACGGTTGTGAGAACTCTTTCGCTGATGCAGAATTTGGAACAATCACGTGAATGGCACATGTTTATCTCGGGGAGATCGCGCAAGTGCGTGATTCTGCATCGGACGCGCACTCGTCAGGTGCGTGAATTACCGCTAATCGAATCGGCGATCGCATCGTCGGAACGACACTAAACTCGTATTCGTGACGGCTTTTTTTTTTACCGCGTCGCGTGTTTCTCGACGAACGATAATGGACAATAATTATTGCACACGCGCATGACACCGCTGCGCACCGTCTGTTTGCTCGTTATTTGCCCGACAATTGAATGACGCGCCGTCTGGACTGCGGTATCTGCATAACAACAGAATATAGCGATAAACATTGACTTTGGGACGTGTATGGAGGACGTGCGAAATGCAGAGTTCATAAACATAAAATTTATATTCAGAATTCTTTTTGTAAACATTGTGAATCACTGTATTTTAAGTTTTATTGAACATCGCAGCCATGCTAATTCTGCGCGTTCCACTTCAAAATAAATTATAGATCTAATAGCTTTGATACACACACGTGTATGTGCATGTATACGTATATGACAAACATAATCCACCCAAATATTACATTTTATCTCATATTTATGATATAGAAAGAAGTCACAGTTGTAAAATCATAATCCCTTAATCCGCGCTTTAAATTCTCTAATAACTGATATTATTAAATTTATCAAAAAAAGGATTAATAAGAGCAGCATCGTTAATAGTAAAAAAAATAATATTATCATTATTTTTTCGATCAAGCTTCGCGCGATGCCTTTGAAATTTTCGGAAAGTAATCTTGTAGACCGTATCATTAAGATAAAATGTGAGATATGAAGATACGTCCGTCGCAAATCGTATCTCCGATGAATCGTTAAGCGATAAGCGACGAAAATGATTGGCAGTATTGATTGAAGTAGGTATCTTATGTCCCGCAGAGGAACATGCAGTCGGCCTCGATGGCTGGATGGAGCGCTTTCATGCAGGTACCGCCGCC